ACAAAATCTTCTTTCTATGTACAGAATATTGGAGTAATAAAATTTATTAATGTAAGTAATAAATCTACTAAATGTCCATTCGTCTTAAACCATCACGAAATCATAAATTTTGTCTTAAAAAATACGCGTTGATTACGTCGACCCGTGTTGTGTCGGTTGTTCTTAAAATGGAAGGGGAGGGAGGACGTATAACTCGTTTCGCATGTATTCTTCGGGCGTCGTGCAGGACCGTCCCTTTGTGGGATATGCGAGCTTTAAACTTCTCGGCCATCTATTCTAGCCACGTACTATAACTCGCCTGGAACGCGTGTGGTCCCTCAGGGCGGACGCACGAAACGTTTCTTCCCCTTATGAAATTGTAACAGAGGCAGGATTAGCATGGGGCATTGTCTCCGGAGCGAAGGGTAGGTTTATGTTGTAGCGATGTTATCGAGATCTACCCACTTCGACTCGCGTTTCGAATGCATCTGAATTTCTATTCTCACTTTCGCTTCCGCAAATATACCGTTTTAAATGTACATTTTCAATTTTGAGAAACTTGAGTCTTTCTATTGTTCTTATGGTTTTCACAGCTCATTGAAATGTAAATAAATTAAATTACTAATAAAAATATATGGAAAACAAAACATGAACTCACTCACTCTCTCTCTCTCTCTCTCTCTCTGGAAAAATATTTTATCACACTTCCAGTAAATTCCAAGTAAGATTAATTATAAGACTAATTACTACAGAGTCTTTATATTACTATTTCTGTCATACATAATAATTGTTTATAATGTTTATTATATCCGCCACATTTACAAGTGCAATATTTAGATAGTTTTTGACACTTTCCGTCTGTATCATTTTCTCGGTTTCTTTTCTCAAATGCCCGCTCGACTTATAATATATATAACTAACACCTTCGAGTCGATCTGACCTCATTCGGTGATATATCTCTCTCACAGCATCCGTAGCGAGCGATCCCTTCCTGTTTCTAGCAGCCGGACGATCATCATGCATATATGTAAAATGCAAAATTGTATCATCCTATGCGCGGTATTCTTTCTTGCGTTTCTTTCACCTCGCGTCCACGTATCTCGCTTTTCAGTTTACCCCACGACAGCATCCCCCGCAGACCGAAATGCTCTAGGGATTTAACACACAGGAATGAAAGAAGGGGACCAGTTCCTGTGGTCGAGCAGGCCACGCATTAACGTTTTACGGCCACATATCGCTACAAAAATCGAAATTCCATACTCGTTAATTCTCAATGGAATCGAACTCTGATGGTGGCAACAGACCGACTTTGCAATGTGATTTTATTGTAACCAAGCTGAATGGACCAAGCAGTGATGCGAAATAACGGAATTAGACAGCGGTAAAAAATTTACCAAAGAACAAATTTAGCAAAATTCTTAGCACGATAAATATGTTTTCACGTTTTGTAACACATACGCCGATATGATGTATTGTTTAACTTTAAAATAGACGAGATTATATATACAAAAAAATATTGTATTAACACATTTCATGTGTCCCAGACGGCCTACTCAATTTTCGTGTTAATTTTACACAAGATAAATATTTATAATAGGAAACAAATATTATGTGAAAAATTTAGAAAAAAATATAATACTAACACAATATGTAAGCAAACTATGGAAGCATATTTTTTCAGTAAAATTAACGTTTGATGTATATAAAATCAACACGTATTTTTTATTCATTTATCTTAAAATTTACATTTTACATTATATTTATATTATTTATTCACTCACTCATAAATGCTATTTTGATAAAAAGAAATGTTGAATATCAATTTAACACAAAATATTCAAATAACATAATCATATAACGCCGCGGCGCCGTACTTTGACGTTTTCTCGTCTCCGATTCTTGTGACCGCATATTAAATTAACATTCGGATATGTTACAAATTCGATATAAAATTTTAATAAGGCGATTTGAATAAACTGGTTCTAACACCAATATAAAATTCTTTCACTGTACAACGTAAGCGTACAATAAATAAATTATTCACCATTGACGGAACCGAAATTATTTCATCGTTGCTTCATCATTTCTGCGAACTTCGAAGCTCATGTGGAACACAACTTTGTCGCTATCGTTGACACATTTTCGCGCAAGTTACCCAGTGGAAACCCAGCATGCGAAACATAAGTTACATTCGTGCAAACTCTATATCGCTCCGCGGTGAACGCTCTGAAGTAACTTGAGCAGAACGGCTTGTCCGTGCCGAATAACTTGCGTGTATACATCAATTCACTCCGTGTATCTATTTAATGATCACGAGCGACCCAGCGAGACGCCCGGAGGCGTGGAGTAACTATAACGTCGTGCTTCGACGTTTTCGCGTCTCCGATTCCTGTGTGTCCAGTAACCGCATTGTCATTCACGTTAAAATTAGTTTCGATGCCACAATCGTCGCATCTGGCATGAAGACCAACGAGGACGGATGCCCACTCCCCTATCTCTCCTGTTCGAAGGGTGGTTTTTCATTCTTCCGACAGGTGGTGGATTCAACGATACAAATATAATTGCATTTTCGAATTGTTGTTTCTCTCGCAATATCAGACCATTATTTCATCGTTTTCGTCTGTGTTCAAAAAATGACTTTTTCTTTCTGTATTGAAGTTTCTATGTATATTAAATAAGCGGAATAAAACAATAATATTATAAACCTCTTAATAAAAAAAGAATAATATGTCTTTTTATGTCCGAGTAATTATCTTTTTACGTAAAAATAAATGTGTCTTTTTATTTAAGCGTAATTATCTTTTTGATGTTAATATCTTTTTCAAGAAAAATGCTCGCTACGTAGAATTATTACAAGTTTTTCTCGAATAAAATGTTCCGTTGGGTGTATACATTAGTCGCTCTAAGTGTTTTGTTATATCATTCAAGTATCCTTCACCTCCTTCACAAGGAAAGTCCGAAGTAACCGTTTATTTTCTCTAACGGTAGAAATCGACACTGTAAAATCGTGATAACGCGTGGAAACTCCAACGTTCCACGAAGTACCCGAAGATACGAACTTCTTGCCGGAAACTGTAGGTCGAGAGCGAGGGTTGAAGCAGGTGGAGGAGCACGGTGATTTTCCAATCGAGCCGGGGGCGTTCGTTGTCTCTCCGAAGAGAATCGACGAACAACGTCGACGATCGGATTTGGTCCCGGTCAGAATCAGCCGAATGAGTAGAATCGTAGATAGTCACCGCCAGGTGGATGCGACTCGTCGCATCTTGCCGCAAACGGGAAGAGTTAAAAAGCAATTTTCTCTTTCCGGCCGAGGGTCTGACAGCTGAGCACCGTTCCCGGCACAGGGATATCCGAGGTGAGATCTCGACACAGCGAATTTGATTCAATCTTTAACGATCAAGCGCATTTGCTAAAATTCACCTGCCAGCTTTCGTGTACGTAAAAAAATATGTGTATATAAAAAGCTACGTTTCAAAGGTATCGATGAAAATGTCAAAATGAAGATTGTCAGCCTAAAAACACAGGCATGGCACAGAAAATAAAATATTCTAAAAATTTTATAATTAATGATCCTTCAAATTAACTATTTAAATCCATTTAAATTAAAATTAAATCCATTAAATCCATTAAAAACTATTTAAATTAAAATTAACCATCCGTTGACAATGTAAAATTTATATCTTTTGTCCGCAATCTGATAGTCTTCTTTCATTGATAAACTCAGTGCATCTTGAAGACGTTAGACACAAATCGACGTAAAGATGTATGTTTAATAAAAATATAGAAATGTGAATTTAATCGTGAAATCTTCAATACATTTTATTGTGCTATTTGATAAAATATACATTAGGTATTTTATCAATTAAAATGTCACTTTTACATTCAGAATAACGTGTATAATGGCATCAATGTGTACTGAGTGCGCACTAGTTCTGCCAATGGAAAACGCTATTATAGTCTTCGAATTTTGTGTAGATTGTTCCGGGGACTGTATAAAAATTCAAAAAAAATTCTTATGTAGTTGTGAAAGCTCCAACAGTGAATATTTATTATTATAAAAATTAGATTATATTGTACTACTTATTTTTCAGATTTAAATTTATCGACCGGAATTCATAATTAAAATATCGATTGTGCTTTTAAACGTCAACATTGTCAGGGGAAGATTAAAATGTACTCGATTGTTTATGTCTCAAGCATCATCCGTATGATACGCGAATGCACTTTGCGAGTAGAATATATGAGCTTTTAAACCGAGAGTTCCATCGACGAGGCAGACCGTGGAAAAATCATCGTACGATTCGTTTGCCTACAATGGGTCGCTTAACCGGCAGATACGCGTCAGCTGTCCCGATGATGTCGGTGTCGTTTCGCTCGACTATGCGTGATTGACAGTTTTATGGGGACGAGCGGAGCCCATGCACTTTCCAGTTACGACCGGGGTCTGGTTTTATCACCCCCTCCTCCCTAAAACGGGGGCCAAACATTATGCGACATTTGATGCTAATCGATACGCGGATAGCCGCGGGGGAAAAAGGGCGTAGCACGGCAGGCTAAGTTCTTTCTAACTGGCAAATGAATTCTTTATACGGTATTTGAGCAAATGAGTTCAGGGTCTACAGTTTATATGTAGAGTAGCATTAAAACTGGTTTCTATCCGTTTAGATTTCTTTATCAATTCTGAATATAACTATGAAGACTACTGTCGACACATTTTAAATATACAGTTAGAATGTTCACCTTTAAATATATGTATCAAAATTAAACATTTTATTGCATGTATTATGTAATTAAAAGTTATAAACCTTGTTAAAGTTTTACAAAGTTGTTTCTAAAAGCTTCATCATACTAAAACACAGCTGGTGATTACGTTTTCACATTTAAAGCTAAATGCGACTTTAATTATAGGTTTAATTCGTTATTTCAAATACACGAACACAGTAAACTCGACGTAATAACACATTAGATGACGCACGTTAAGCCGGTAAAAATCAGAATGTATAAAAGTCTGGACAACTCACCTCGCAATTGGAATGACTGATGTTACTCAGATTTAGCCTGAAGATTTTGTCCCTGAAAGCAGAAGAGGAAAGTTTCGTGTTAGCGTAACGGTCGAATTAAGCGTGGTCGCGATAGACGGAAGGGTCTAGGGGTAAATTTTCATTCCCTACGTCTACGAGATGCATTACTCTCCGTGACTCGACCCTACCTTATCTCGCCACGGTTATGTATGGTTGTGTAGCACCGCGGCACTTTGCTTACGGCTCTCCGACATGGCGAACGCCAGCAAACGGCACGGAATTTCTATGAGGATGGAAAAGGAGAGACCGGAGGGTAAAATAGGTAGGACGAGAGTTGCCTCTTTTCTGACCGAGTTCTACATTGTCTTTTCTTTGCTCGACGGTGACCGAAGTCACGTCGTCGTTCTCGTACCGTTTGTTTTTATTAGGATTTTATTCCTTAGAAAGAGATCGTCGTTCGAGACTGACGGATAAAACATAATAAGAATCGTAGTCGACGAGACGAAATAAACGCAGATTACGCAACGGGTCGTTGAAGATTTTCATACTGAAAGTCGATGTGACTGCCATTCGTATTAATAATTTCGCATCGGTTGTCAAGACATTAATTTCACATTTCAATGTAGAGAAATGTGAGATATTTCATACGTACTTTGATCAATATAACAGCCAGTCGCTATCAATGCGAGAAACTGTAACGATTTTCATATAAATCTCTTTGCGACCATCGGCGGCGGCAATCTGAGGTTCTGCGTTCGATCGTACGTGAAAGGTATATGCGCCGCTAGGCGCCACCGATCGTAAATCGAATTTATCCAGTTTTCAAATGTGTGTGTTTCGCAACATTAACGCCGGCGCGCCGCATAACTTTATCCCAATAGCCATTCATCATCGGCTTTCAATAGAAATACGCAGTCGGACGGAATGCGCTCGCGGAACGTGAAAAAAAGAAGAGAAAGAGAAGAAGGAAGGAAAGGAAGACCTATCCCTCAGCGGCTCTCCTTTTTCATTCATTCTGTGCATCGCACCGTGAAAAAGTAAATACCAATGTGGAAAAACAAATCCGTACTTTGGAATCTACCCGCGTCGAACTTTCGTCTCGGTGAACTTTTAGAGGGTTCCAGCAGGTGGAAAGGAAACGCGAAGAGAAAGGAGGGGGAGAGGCGAGAGTATCGTCTACGTGCTGGCACGTCGCTCATGCTACCGAAAGAAAAAATTCGTAGGAAAGTAATTTGTGGGGAAAACTCGATGTAAAGGGTGGATTGCTGCAAAGTCATCGCTCAGTTCCTTTGAAATTCAATTGGTAAAACGTGCGTAATCAAACCGAGAAATTACTTCACCGTTGAAAATCGCAGAGGAAAAATTTCATTAAGATCTCATTGACACGCTTCCACAAGAAGTGGAACATTTTCTAAAAATAAAGAAAGTGTTACTTGAGAATCGGGGAAAGAATTCGGTTCAATTTAACATTTTACATCGCCTTAAGGGCTTTCGAGGGAAAGTTTAATTAAAATCTCGAGCAGTTTGCTGAGGTCGTACGGCAATTTCTTAAACTATTAAAGACGCCTTGTAGAGTGCGGAAGAAATTTCAACAAATTTCATTGCTAATTATGCAAATAGGAACAAAGACTTAATTAAAGGCTGCGGATCTAACATTTACGACACTCCAAACGATGCCGTGTGACCATATATATACGAATTGTCCATGTTTCCGTCTGAAATAGGTCGCAGGTTAAGATTACAGCCGCACACCGCTTTCATGTCTAGCGTAGGATTTCACTTGTGTAATACGGACATTTTCATCGTGGCCGAGAAGGACCCTGACGAATGCTGGGCGAAATCCGAAAAGCATCGTTGTCTGAATTTGTGGTTGTGCGTGACGGACAGCTCTGACCCGGGATGCATTATCCAACGCGTCGAGATCTACTCCCTCGCTACACTCTGGGGGAATACATGACAAGGGCCAGAGAAGTGGCGTTTGCAACAGCGCTATTTACCCCAACGCCTTCGGGAAAGAGATATATATATCCGCGAGAAGAGACGGATTTAACATAATAGAACGATTTTAATAATTCCCAGTATAAATCAACGAATGTATACACGTCGGAATAATGTTACGCTTCCGCGTTTCAATAAACCGCAATGCAGCTCCGACGTTTTAATACGTCACTTTTTATAGAATAATAGTGATGGAAAATAAACGTGCGAGGTAAATAATAGAGCAATATATACATACAAAATAGATGAAACACGTTATTGTTGAAATATGCGATTTAGCAAGAATTAGGTTTAACCTAATTCTCTTCTATACAATAATTTTATCAGCTGTAATCTAACGAATAATCCGCTAAATCGATATACGACATTTAAAGTGTTGACATCGTTGAAAATGTTCGGGGGGAGGGAGAGAGAAAGAGAGAGAAAAGTTGAATTGCCATTGTTGGCTGTACAATGCCCGTAACCTCGTGACCGTTTTCACCTCGCTAACATTCGCGATTGTAACTCACTTTTCTCACGCTATCTCGAGCTTTTCCCTGGGTTGTTTCAGTGGACATTACGAAGGTGAAATCTCCCCCGTTATGTTTCCGGTAACGGTTATTGGGAACAATTAGGAGGAAAATCGATCGCGAGATTAGATGTGACGTGTTAATTTCCGGTCGCAGTTGCTTTTGGCGCCGAATTATCGTGGTCACAATAGAAGTCTGAAGTATGACGAGAAAAACGACAGATGCGACTGCACGAGACGAAAATATGATCGACGAATTTTTATCTCGTTTCGCTAGACGTGTGGCAGACAGAAGCCGCGGACACACAGATATAAGCGAACTAACATTTTTTTTTTGTTCTGCTCTCGCCAGCGGCCCCACTGGCTTGATAATTGGAAGCGTTCAATTAGCGTGCCTTAATTGCGGAGCGAACCGCAACGCGGGTGCCGATTCTCAAACTACAATTAATGGCTATCACCTTTCTAATTAACGAGGAACGATGCTCGCGCGTGTATCGATCGTCGCGTGCGATAACGGAGAAAAAAACGGTATCGCGAAGAACAGATACAGCGATAGGGACATGAGAAAAGTATCCTGATCAAAAACGTGAGGTTGATACGCGAGTGGATCGATACATAAAAGGTCAAATGCCTTAGTCATTTAAAATTATATCCAAGAGATCATAAAGCTTAAACCTACCTTCTCCTATCGTTAAACAAGGAATACCAAAACGATTTCCTTTCAGACTCTTATCGGAATTCTCTTCGATATTGTAGTTTTGTAGATACGTATGTATACATATACAAGACGACGCAAGCACGCGAAACGAAGCCAGGAAACAGGAAACGTTGAAGTCGAAATAGCCGCTTTCCTTGGGAAATGCAATTTATCGTAACTGCACTTTTTCTTTTGTCGCTCCATATGGCGAGCTCATCCCATCCGTAAAGAGAGAGCAAGAAAGTGAGGCAAAGTTATTTCAAAAGCGGAAGCTTTTATACGATTGTCATGCTTTATTTTTCTATCGTACAGAAATATGATTTATATCTTCTTTAATTTGATTTCTCTTTGTGTTCTAATTAATTGTTATTAATTGTTATTTTTATTAATTTTTAACAAAAAACTTTCTATTTCAAATGTCAATATTAATTTTGTAGTAAATGTTCTATGTGTACAATATATATTTTTTAATATTAAATCTTATAGGACTTATAGTGAGAATTAAAAGCAGTGAAAAACAAGCCTTAACGGTCAAGCGGGTTCTTGCTTCTATAATCGCGTGTGAATTTATTATATATACTACGTATGTGGATTTTTAATTGCGAGCCGAATATTTTCAGACTTGAAACGCAAGCTCTACTAAATTATCGCAATAATATCAAGAGTTAAATTGACTAACAATTTAACATTTTTTACATCGATCTTAATAACGTCGAAAGACATATTAATATCTGTAAATAATTCTTATTGCGAAAAATATTATCTCGGCCGAGAATCCAACCTGGATTTCTAGTATTCCGTGCGATATTTTTTTATATAATATATATATATGTGTAGACACTTATTTTATATCATACATATATATATGAGGAGTAGATTTTCAAAATGCATTTTGCCAAAAATTTCATTTTTTAAATTAAAGATAACATAAGTGTTCAAAGACTTATATTAAACTACTCTACGATGTTCTAAAAGTATTGTTTTCACCATCAATTGATATGCTGAAAAAGTTTAGACATTTAAAGTGCATTATGTCCTGTAACTAGAGACAAATTATAAATGCACTTGTTTAAGATTATTAGAAATAGTTTAGCAATTTTGTTTAACATTTTACATCTTACTGATTAGCAAATTGTTATATTTTGTAAGACGCGTGACTTCTTTGTTGCTTTCTTTCTTATTTTCTAAAAATTATAAATAGATAAGACGTATTTTAAAAGTCTGCTCCTCATATATACATACATATATAGTATATATACACATGTTTGTTCTCTCGAAGAGAGATTAAATTGTAATCACTTTGCTGTCTGCGTACTGCTAACTACGTTGTAATGATTCCGCAGCGGTGAAGTCAATTGAGCGCGTCTTGTCTCATTCGTGACGAAAATATATTCGTATATTCGAATTGTAAGAGAACTTCATAAGACGATCTGTGTTCCGCCTCACAAAGGGATTAAACAAGCATCCTGTCTGTCTCGAGATTTCTTCATATATGCGAGGCATTGGCAGATTACCCCCGTTGCATCTCCGTTACCGAGGCTTCGTAACATTTTACTGGCATTTACTAAATTAAGGGGAGGGAGGAAACACAAAGGAGGAAGGAGAATGGGGAGAACAGGGATGGTCGCCGAGGGTGGGCGTCGACAGAAGCGGCTGGGACCGAATCAAGAAATAATACTCCGCTGAGATAATGATGCGACGTTTCCTCCCCGCAATTTCTACCCGGCTTGGGTATAGGATCGACCCTTTAGCTTTCGCCTCCGCCGAGAGTCACATTGAGAAAATAGTAACCCAATATTCGTACGAACAGTGAAGAGACGCTTGATTTAACGGATTATTACTGCTAGGAAACGGCAAGGAAACTTTTTATGAAACTTTTAATTACAGCTAAGACGCGTGAGAGATTTAAATCGGGATAAAAATGAGGAAATATTAATAGATTCGCGCATCGAAGAAAGCATGATGAACGAAAATACAATTTGTAAAGAGTTGATAACGCAAGTTATTTCGCAGACATTAAGTCATTGTCTGTGATACGCGTAAATTCACAATTTCGAATGCAATCTAAAATTGTTACGTTCCAACGATAAAATAGCAAATTCATTAATTCTGATCTCTGTTGACACGGCGTTTTTCATTTCCTCGGCAACCATAATTGCCGAGATCGTCAGTTTCGATTTGTATTATATGTTTACTTTTCTTGCCGTTTCTTTCGCAGCTCAAAGGCTCCGAGTAAATTACCTTTCTGCAAAGTGAAACATTTAGAGCGAGAGGATTCTGATCATCTTCTATAAAGCAAGGCAGACAAGTAAATAAGTCCGTGGTTTTCATAAACAATAATAACAAACGTAGTAAACAGAAATGTGCACACAGTCGTGAATTAAAACAGCTAAATATCGTAAAATGAAAATGTTTTAAAAATTCTCTCTCTCTCTCTCTTTCTCTCTATTCTCTGTAAATAAGCGGGGCGCCGCGCATCATTCTATCATGTACGCAACGATAATTATTATCCCGAAAGCTGATATCATGTGTAACGGGTAATCCCTCAAAGTTCAGATTATCCGATTACTCGATGACATCGGAAAATTCAATCAAACGGCACGATCCCCGCGCTTCGCACACGTTGTAGAATTTTAATCACAGCAATCGTAAAAATCCGCAACGTGGCACGTACATATGTATGTAACACGGGCTCGCGGCGCGCTGACGTAATACCTCTGTCCTCGGGCTTTGACGAGGGAACGTCGCAACTTTTCCCAGGGATTTTCATGGCGTGACATTTTATTACGGGAGAGCTGGGAAAAAGTTCTACTTACATAGCTCCGACGTATAGGGCATCCCTCTTACTGTCCAGGTAGAGCGTCCTGTAGTACAGCATGCCGCAGCTGAATTCCCGCACGTGTTCTGAAAGCAAAAGTAAATAAGGGGATTAAACGTGCGACGTCGTAGAACGGCGAAATTCATTTTCCGTGCTGCGGAAACGCGGCGAATCCGCTATCGTCGTCGTCGTCGCGCTCGCGACTACGCGGCGGCCGCGCTGCGCCGCGCCGCGCGCGCTCGGTGGATCGTTAGATTTTCATTACGACTTTTATAATAACGGCCGGATAGAGTAAGGCGCCGCCCTACCGCCTGCCGACCTCGCCGGTAATCCGGCTAAAGTCAACTCTGACTTATCTCTACCGTAAACTCGTCGGAATTACACGGCACGTAACGTGCGCTCGACATTTTCGTTCCATCGGCCAGCGCGGCGGATTCGTTGAAATCCGCACCGCGGAAACATCGAAGATCAACTCGCGCAAGGAGCCGCATGTTAATATTAGCGGCGAATCAAGCGCTTACAGAAAGAACTTTTACGACTGTCTTCGTTGATGTAACTTTCTTGCGCCTTGGGACCAATTCTGGGCCAAAGAAAGTATTTAACTTTCGGGTTTTGCGAAGCCTTGTGAAAATTTAAGAAGCGATTCGTCTCTTTGCGATTTTAGTAAAAAAAAAAAAAGAAGAATACATTTCATTCATTCCTGATGATTTCTATGAATTATTTAAAAATATCACGTCAATTTGGTTGTCATTTGCACGTTGATCTATAAAAGCGCGTGAAATTCACGGGCCAGCCGTTATCACGTCAACGAGAAAGAACAGTCGACGGCTCTTGCCAACTCCTCTTCTTCCTCTCCTCTTTATCTCATCGACACTGATCTGCTTAACATATGAAAGAAAGCAGCCCCTTTCTAAATATACTCGTTCCACTCCGGGCTAACAGAGCGCGAACAATACTATATTTTATACGGTATCAGGAGGGGCCGACGTGAAATGAAAGGGGTTCTTACTCTGGAACAGAGCTACTCTTCCTGCGTATCTATCCCTTGTTCTCCCCCCTCTCCTCGCTCTCCTCTGTCTTTTCCTGACCTCTCTTCTCTTTCTTCTACATCTCCATGCGCTAACCAACCCTTCGTGCGTTCTCTTTCCTTCACGAGTGAACTCCCGCGACGCGGGCGATGCAGAAACTCGCGATCTTGCTTTATCTCCGCGGAACGACCGACGTTACGTTACGGTCCTTCTAATGTCGGACTTATTCAAAAACGATGTGCCACCCATAGGTCGTTAGATCGGCCCAGATAGACCGCACGACTAGACTGTGTCCCCCACCTCGGGGATTTCCAAATTTATATTCACTCGCGAGCACGGCATACTTATGCTTCCCATTTTTCGTCGATTTCATTCTGAATGCATTCGCGCTCGTTTCTCTCGGATACATAGATATATTCCACACGAGAGTTATTTCGATCTTATCGTCGTAATGAAGTTGTAACGTCCACTGCGTACGGGAACGACATCCGCACCTGCTGCTCGTTGTATCCGAGTTAATATAACTGTTGCATCCTGACGGTCGCTTCTATTTCTAGCCCACTGGGATAAAATTGGCCGCGCCGCGACTCGCACGATTGTTAATGGGATAAACGTCGTCGCGCGACATAGGTTCTATTTATGCATAGCACCTTTAGTATAACGTTATTTATTAAGCGTACAGAGTGTAAAGAGAAATAACATTCTAAATTGTAGTAATAATGTGTCTCGTGTCCCCACTTTGTACGTTCATTCAGCTAGACTATTCTTGTAAGATATATACAGTCAGCCCCTAGTCAACGCGTTATTTGTACGATCATTTTCACAACGTTTCGCTAAACGGTTGCAATTAGAATTTTCTGCGGCTTTACAGTTTCACCATCTCGCATAATTATTCGATAATTGTTGCATTATTTTCGATTGCATCTCGTGCCAATATTTGCTTAATTAATTATATATAATACGTGCATAATATAAATAATTAATCGTTCAATATTGATGCGCTGGAGAAACGTATGGCGGCGTTACCGCCACCGCTGAGTTCTCCGACAAATATTTACAATCGTGTAATTTACCGCCATTAAAAGACGTCCACGTGCGCAAACACACTGCCTACTTATCGTAAATTACTTGCAACGCATTCCCATAAGAACGTGCGCTGAAACTTCGAGGGACGATACAATCGCTAATCGAGGTTGTTAACGGTGCGTGATAACGCCCTAACGACCCTAGTCGCGGAAACCATCCATTCGAATTCGGTAGTTCCGGCAACGGCCTAATACCTTTACAGTATTTCTTAATTAAGCACACTACAAGAGGGTATATCAGCGACCTAGAATCGTAACAAATCTTGCTATCGAGGCTATTATATTTGATAAAAAAAGAGGCTTTCAAAAATGGACGCGGTCGTGGAAACCGTTGTCATCGCAAATATACAGTCATATAAATTATTCTGTTAATTCAAGAGCCTAATGATTTATCCGGGTTACTTTTTATAGTTAGCGTAATGAATATGCGTGTGTGTGTGTGTGTGTGTGCGTGCGCGCGTGCAGGTGTGTAAAAGACGTATGCATGTGTGATTGTTTTATGATAATAAGAGCAGTTAGCTAATGAGCTGTTTATCAGGCTAAAGCGAGAAGCTACAAATTACTTTGAGGATAAACGTTGTTTTAGTTTCTACTACGTTCATATCTGAGATAAATTTAGAATACGTCGTTTTGAATCAAGCTATCGTTGACACTGTTGATTTAAACCCTACCAACTTTATGAACCTCAATATGTAACGAGAGAACGATTCGCTCTTTAAATCCTCTCTATATATGTTCACGTCATGCTCCAATTCCCTAGACTTGTGTACACGTTTTTGCATCTAAATGCATTTCCCTCGAAAGCCTTTAATCGCTATTTGCAAAACATCCGGCTTCGGTCCAAGCAATAAATAATCCGACTTTCTGGAAAACTCTCATTTGATACATCCTACAGTGTAATTTTATCATATCTCATCAATATACTTTATTTTTCTTCCAGTGTTTGTATAAACGGAAAATTAAATTCTATATGAAAAATTTAATCGACTCTTCTTTCTGTATTCAAAATAATTGCAAAATTCCGGTATACATATATTTTGATGTAAGAATCGAACATTGCTAAATAACGCAAAGATTAAGCGCTCATAAAAGTGTTTCATATATTCAAATATATTTTATCTTTGACATCTTTTCGCCAATCTGAATGTATAAATAAATCACTCTTCCACAAACTTTGCAAGTAATGCATTTGACAATATGCACTACTGAATGAGAGTTATGTAAAATTTAACGAAAAAAGCAAACCGCATCGATGATTGAATGTAAATCGCGATAATAGAGATTATGAGTTACTGAGCGCTAAATAGAGTTTTTGCTGGAAAATAAATGAGGACGATGATGAAAGTTAGATAATACTATGTGAGTAATCAGGGATTTTTGGGAATTTCATTTTTACCGTGATATAGTTTTTGAGATCGCTTCACATTCTCGTGAATCGATATAAAGTTAATGTTATTCATGTTTAATAAGCTCAACTGTGAGCACGAGCATAATTACGTATACATACGATGTATTTTTGCGTTCTCGTGAGAAAAATTAAAGCGACTAGATTACAAGGTCGCTGAGATACAAAGTCTTGATGTGATATTATATTTTCGACGATATCCCGTCGGGAATATTACAAAACCGATGGTTATTTTGGAAAAATGAATATATACACTGTAAATTTAACTTGCCGCGCGTGATTTTGCCGTCGAGATCGATACGAAGCCGTGCAATCATTCCTCGTGTTCGCAGATGATCTTTATGGCAGATTTATGCAGTGCTTATCGGCATCCAAGCGAATCCAACAGCACGTGCAGAACCAATACGATCTCTCCCTATCACGTGCACGAAAGGAAATGTGAAACCATAAAGAGAGCCAGAGTTGCAATTGAATAAAGTGAGGCCCAACTCAACCCGCACAATGGCAGATTAGGCGCGCGATCATTTTTTACATTCGTCTGGCTTCGTTCCAGCTGACACTGGCATATGGCCGCCAAAGATTATGAGGGTACTGCCGCCGCGGTCGTGTCCAATTTCCAACGTTATTATTATTTTAATCCCTTGAGCCCGGGGCAAGGTGCCGCGTCCGTAGCGAAAATATTCTCCATCGCGGTAATTTCAATTGCAAAAGCGCCCTTTTTAGCTTCCTACGATCCATCTCGCTGCGTGCAGTATCCATAGCGCTGACTTTGAAAAATGAGATACATTCTGCGCGATGCATGGTGCAAGCGATCAAATAGATTTCATTTTACATAATATGCAAAGAAACGTATTATGTCAAGAACTTTTGTTTAAAATTAACAAATTACCCGATAATACTGTAAGATGTATTGCAACGCTTTTCCGATTCATATGAACCTCTATGAGTTATACGAGTCATTTTTTAAATTCTTTAAAAGGACATTTTTACTGTGCACGTGCATAGAGTACTTACTTTTTGATTGCGCCAGCGAGCTAAATAAAACCTGTTTCAGATCGAAGATACAGATGGCAAAAAAATTCAGGACAAGGTAACACGATACAGGGAGAGGGGAAAAAAAGAAGGGGATCGAATGTCTCTAGAGTCTAGATTCGCAATCGCTCTTCGGTCAAGGCACGATCATCGCGTGGGATAGAACCTGCTGACGCGCTTCGAGAACCTTTTATCCGGTGTGAAACGCGTCTTCTATCCTTCGTGTCTGTCAGGAGTTGGTTCAAAGGAGGTGGGGTCAAACTAGGCGTGTGTATGCGCACATACTCGACCACCTCGGTCGCGGCTCTTGACAGAATTGACATGTTTGGAACTCGTCTACTCCGCTTGCGGATTCGCTGGACCTCGACACGACAATACACTCTTCTCGAAACCGAAAGTCCTAGTGCGAGTGCCGCCGGGCATTGTGCAAACTTTCCAGGTTTCCCGGAGTATCGATCATATAGCATGCGCTCCGATACCTGTCGCTCGTGTCGTTAATCGAATTCGCCAAGAACAGTGGTGGATTTTATAGTTCG